ATTGCTGATTACTTTGACAAGAATGGCTGCTGGGCACCTTGGGAAGCTAAAATGAGTGAGGTTTCAGCTCTCTGACTATCTCAATAAACACAATTTCTGCAGATTTTTCATGTTTTGTAAATTAGTATAAGGAATACCAGTACAACACCTAGAAAATAGTGCATACTTAATCGGTATAAATACTTTAAATATTTGAAAGTAAGTCAAAATCAGCCCCTTAGTATTTTTGTATCCTTTGCCAGAAAGAATCAGCTAGGTTCTGAATTGAAGGACTAAAGCCTCTTAGTGGCAGGAAGTGAGAGAATTGTCAGTGATATCTTGGAGGAGAGAGGCCAGGTCATTGGCTCTGAAGAGGGGACTGGTAGCTTCAACTTTCTTAGCCCAATTGGCCTCTATTTGCTGAAGGATGCGCCACTTAGGACATTGTAGCAACAGAACTGAGACCTATGAGTTAGCAAAGAAAACTATCTCATGCATGAGAGACCAGCAAATTAAATGAAGGAAATGAATTAAAATAAAACAAATACAACTTATGGGTTTTTGAGTCTCTGGAAGAGAGAGAGGGCAACTAAATTAGATAACTACAGTCAAAATAAATAAGGAGATTCATGAGAGAATATATATATATGTGTGTATATGTATATATGTATATATATATACACACACCAAGACTGCAGCTAGAAAATATACTTTTTAATTCAATAATTTAGTTGAAAATTTTAAAGGGAAATGCTGTCCCAAATTATAAAAATCTAGGATATTTCCATGAAACAAAAGTGTTTTAAAGTAGAGGAAAAAATAAAGAAATGAGGACCTGCTTTTATCTTCATGTACATACATGATTCTCCCAGTAAACTCTTGTGGTCTTATGAAATAGTAATTTGCCCATGAAGCTGTCCCTGCCAAACTTGGGAAAAATAGCCACTACTTATCCACTTTAACTTGACCTCTCCCACTAAAAGATGAACCTCATGAGGGAAAGGAATTTGTTCACCAAAATATGCACCATGTCTAGAAAAATAACTATATAGTAGGAGCTCAAGAATTATTTGTTGAGGACTTAATGGATGAATTAGTTAATGAATCATGATGAAGAAAGTTGCGTATCTTGGAATATAGATCAAGGGAATGTAACATGTGAATGATAGCATCTCTAGGAGTAACAAGAATATATGGAGGCAAAACAATCATTAATCAAGTTGTAGAATATTTCTCTGAGTTGGAGAAAGTACTGAGTCTGCATATTAAAAAGGTTCTCTAGCCAAGCTAGATTGATGGATAGAGAAATACCTATCAAGCTGCAAGGCAGAAAAGACAATTTACTTACAAAGAAAAAATAATCAGAGTGACACCACATTGTTTATTTGTAATACAGGTAGCTGCAAGACAGTGAAATAGCATTTATAGCCGCAGAAACAGTAGAAAACATCTATGAGCTACGGAGAGAAAATACTGCCTTCCCCAAATATTTTACCTGACTGCTGTATATTGGTTGTTGAGAGAAATATTTATGTGTATGCTAAGATTCAGAAAAACTATCATTCAGGTCATGTATATGAAGAAAATAAGTATTCTTACTAAATATAAAATGGACTAGAATAGGGAAAATGTATGTGCATGTTCACACATGCATGTACATACATGCAACATGTACTCACAAAGGTAAATCTAAATTGATAATGATATAATATCTGGATGTTAAAAAAAGCCCCTGAAAGAAATTGGATATCCAGTGGAGGAGACTGTATTTAGGATCTAGAAGTAAAATAAGTTATTTAAGCAATACCTTGTAGTGGGGAGGGAATAACATAGATATCAAAATTATGTATACACATTGGTGAAATAATTAAAAATTTGTTTGCAAAAAAATAGTAAAGAATGTGATTGATTATGTATCAGGGAAAGAGAAGGTTGCCATTAATGGAATGAAAATATTTGGTATCCTTTCTTAATTATGAAGAAGAAAAGTGCAATAAATAACTTAAACTAGGGGAAAAGAAACACTGCAAAATTATTAAATGAGAATATATTAATTATATGAAGAAAGTTACCAAATACTACTTGACACTTTAGTTTCCTTTCTGTTAATAAATGTCAACAAGATTTTCATTAAGTCTTATTCATTCTGTCTCCTTAATGTCTCTTCTATTTTTTCTTCTCCACACTGCTATAGGATACATCTCATTTCTCCCGTATTGCTATCATAGCCCCTTCATTCATCTCCAAAATACAGTCTTGTAAAAATTTACACCCATTTTAATGCTAAATTACTTATGAATAAATCTAGGCATGCTAGTTCAAATTTCATTTTTTAAACTTCTTTCATCACACTTCAGGATCAATTCTAAATGGAATCCAGATAATGCACATGTTGTACCCAGTATATACTGAGCATGCTGGAGCTGGGGCATTTTCTAATTATGTTTTCCTCTGCCTTTGGGTTACACCTCCCTGTGCCAAGGGGCACAGATGGTGTTTTGGGGCTTCCTTCTTTTTTTAAATATATTTTATTGATTTTTTACAGAGAGGAAGGGAGAGGGATAGAGAGTTAGAAACATCGATGAGAGAGAAACATCAATCAGCTGCCTCCTGCACACTCCCTACTGGGGATGTGCCCGCAACCAAGGTACATGCCCTTGACCAGAATCAAACCTGGGACCCTTGAGTCCGCAGGCGATGCTCTATCCATTGAGTCAAACTGGTTAGGGCTGGGGCTTCCTTCTTAGTATGTAGTGAAAGTGCTAACACATTGGCCCAATTTTTCATGATCAATAAACCCTATGTTTAGAAACATCTTTCTCTAAGTTGCTGCTGCCTAATCTCATCCAGCAACCTATAGATCTGATCTCATTAATGGCTGAGAGATCTTCATTTCATTCATAGCCCTGACTCTCCCTTCTCTTTCTAAACCATACTCCAGAATAACATAAATCCAAGTTCCACAGATGTCCTTAGCTAGTCTTGGCCAGTTTAATTCATTCCCACTCATAAGGAACTCACCAAAGTTTGATATTCTAGAGCTTCCTTTTTCTGCCAGCCTTACCCCAAGTAGGAAAGGGTAGAAATGACACTTTTCCTGACAAAGCGGTGTTTGGAATCATTTCTGGATCACTGGTTAGGTCCTCAGAATGAGAGAAGTTAGGTAAACATATCTTAACAGGTGGCATCAATGGAGTAGCAGAGTACAATAAACTAAAATTAGACTGTACTTAATAACAGCTCTAAAACTAGTGATATGACCAAAGCAATACTAACAAATTCTCAGAGTATGTTTCTTCATTTATAATATAGTGGTGATAATATATCTCACATAGGGTTCATAAGCATTGAGTGAAAAAATAATGAAATTGTGTAAAAGCAATTAGTTTAGTGGCAGCACATTGTAGATCCTGAAAAAAACGGATGGATATTTATTGATATAAATGAAGAAATGATTCAATTATATAAGATGAAATTTCAAAAGTGTGCCTTAAACTATAGGAAAGGTAATTTATAAAAATGTTTTACTGCGGCTGTTTCAGTTGGACTGTGTTAACAAGGCCGTTGGTTTCTTATTTTATGAATTATCCTTTGTTCTTATAAGAAATTTAAAATAATGAATATATGGTACAATTCATTTCATTATTAAGTCAGCTTTTAACAACATAGTTTTAAAAAGTGTAATTTTTGGTCTTAATTCTCTAATGTTTACTTTAGAGAAACACACTGTCATTTATTTTAGTACCCATTTGGTTTACTAAATGTGATTTAAAGTACAGGAATATTTTCTCAGAAATTAATGAGAGTGGGGGCAAAGGAAGCCAGAACACACCAGTATGTGTTTTTAACACCTTGTTGATTGCAGCTAATGAGCTGGAGTCCAGATTTGTTCCTTGTGTAGGAATGCCTGGGGCAGGCATCTGGGTCCCGGCTGCTTGTGGTGAGCTTCAGAAACATTTCTCCAACTGGAGCCAGTGTTGTGGCTGGACAGGTTTTTTCAGGTTCTTACTATAATTGTGAGGTGCACAGCAACAACCATATTGGAACCTGAAAATGCAAAGCTTATTACTCAAAGGTCCTGGAGGATAAATAGCACCTTCAAGGGCCAGGCGGCAAGGTAGCAGGTAGAGAGAAAGAGCACAGAGCTGGGATTCTGCCATTATTATGGTTGAGGGTGGAGTGCTTAAGGTTTCAAAAGTTTATTTTGTATCAGTGATTTTAAAACATAAGAGCAGAATTAGGGAGCGGGGAGAGGAAAGCAGAGTCACCGAAGTGGCCTGTTATCTAGGTTACCCAGGGCTTTCTAAAAGAGAGACTTCATGGATAGGGTAGGCCTGGCTACTTACTTATTTGTGTAGCTAGTAGGTGTCATATAGGCAGCCAATTTGTGTATTTGATCAAAATGGACCTTTGAAATGGGTGCCTCAGAAATCAAAAACTTAACATTAGGCACTTACATTACAATTAAAAAAAAACACACAAAAAAACCTTATTGTCATGCACATATACTCCAAGAGTGCTTTATTTAAAAATTAGCCCAAATATGACCATGCTATTATTTTCCAATGATACTCATTACACTATGTCTAAAATTCATGTGTATCATCAACTTCTGATAGTACATCATCAGTATCTAATAGCTCTACCAAAGATTAAAAATCTCATATGTCATCTTTTTCTTCACATTTCAATAATGGTCTCTTTTATTCCAACAGTTTTCTATAACCTATATTTTATTGTTAATATCTAGTTAGACCAAAATTGATTTGCTCCTAAATTCTCAAAGGCAATATGAAGACCATCAATAAAAATGTACTTTAATCCTTTTAAACATGTAAATCCTTTCTCCTTTGCAAAGGACGAAAGTGTGCTCAGACAAAATTAATGAATGAAAATATCATGTAATAATATATGTTGAATGCAATTTAAACAAAGCATTATTATTTTTGTCAAACTGTTAATACACTTTAGGGAAAATATTTAATTGGCAGCTTTTCTTATTTACACTGATATATTTACAGTTGTATGCCAAGATTTACTGGAAAAAGCTGTGAGAAAGTAATTGACCACTGTAGACTGCTCAGCATCGACTGTCTGAATGAAGGATGGTGTTTCAATATAATTGGAAGATTCAGAGTAAGTAATTTAATACATGGCAAAGTAATTTAGCACATCAAAACACAATAGCTTCAGGCACTTTGTATTTCAAATGCTTTTATCAATATAAGACAGATAAATGCATCCTTATATGGGTATTTAAATATATTATATATAGTTTAGTAATAGAGATTTTTTAAAAATGTATTTTTATTGATTTCAGAGAGGAAGGGAGAGGGAGAGAGAGAGAGATAGAAACATCAGTGATGAGAAAGAATAATTGATTGGCTGCCTCCTGCATGCTCCTTACTGGGGATCAAGCCTGCAACCCAGGCATATGCCCTTGACCGGAATAGAACCTGCAATTCTTCAATCCACAGGCCAACACTCTATCCACTGAGCCACACCAGCTAGGGCAGAGATTTTTAACTTAGAATTATCTTGGGAGGCCATTGATGTGTTCTAGACAGTGACTTTCTTATGAAATAAGAGTATAACTAGTTGAGTACTGGTGATATATCTCTCTCTATATAAGACCACAGTTACTAATGTCTTAAGCTCTTAAACCAGATGGGAAATAAAAGTAATCTGGTAATTGTTAATCAGGATATATAAAAAATAAGTTTTTGGTTTTTCTGCAGGATAGTGCTTGAAATAATTTTACAAATCTAGTGTGTGTGCTACACAGAGGAAGGCATATCCTATAATTCAGCAATTCTATTTTCAGGTATGTCTATTGGATAAATTATCAGGTTTGTACTGAATGAGACATATAGAGGAATTTTCATGCCAAATCTGAAACAAACTAAAGCTTACAGTGGGAGAATGGATAAACTTATCATGGCAATATCATACCACAGAATTATAAAAAGTGGTTAAAATACATGAGCAATAGCTACATGAATTAATACTTATAAATACCAAAACATAAGGTTGACTTTTAAAATATTATTAAAATTATATATGTACAGTGTGATAATATATAGTTTAAGTTTTAAAATTCCTATTTTTGCGGTTGCAGAAGTCTATAGAGAAGTGAACACATACATGAGAATTATTCATACACACTGAATTCATCAGAACTGCCTCCAAGGAGACAGGTGGGAGAGTAAAATCAGGGAGGGTACAGAGAGGACTTACTATGTATCTGTAATGCTTTGTTTTTTTAAAAGAAATGGATTTTTTGCAAATGAGGATGGTAGGATTATGTTGTTTATTTTATTATTTTCTCTTTTCCATAGTATAAAATATTTAAATAAATATTTTTAAAGATAATTAAAATCAACTTATGGAATGGATCATGGACAAATTTATATGTGTACTTTTTGTACATGTATACTAAATGCAAGATTGTTACTATTTAAGAATATATAGGATAAGAATATAACATTTATTTAGCAGCTATAATACCTTTGGCATTATAGCTTCTCATTTATGATTATGACCTTATTTGATCTACACATAAATCCCATTCCATTTTATATAAAAAAATAAAATTTCTACTGAGCTTTTGAAATATTTCCTGTAGTTTACACATATCAATAGTGTTAGATGAAGCTAGGTCTAAACCTCTTCTGTGTGACTTGAGAACACATCCTTTCAAGTACTGATGCATATCTATTTTCAATATAAAGTATATACCACCATTTATTTTTCTTTAAAATTCATCTATTGTTTCCCTAATATGAAATTATCTCATTGAAATGTCTTTTTTACTTTGGTTTGAAATTATTTTATATTATCTGTGTATGTTTTGGTTTTTGGTTCCTGTTTTGTTTCAGGATGATCTCTGAGTTTTTATCTCTGACATTATTTTTAAGTTTTTCTTCTTCTAACAGCACTTTTCCCTGTGAGATCTCATCTATTTTAGTGCCTCAACAATTATCTATATGTTATTGACTGTATCCAGTTTGTATTTCTTTTTTTTAAAGAAATTTGACTTTTCTTCACCTTGCAGACTTTTCTTTTTTGTGATCCTACTTTAACTTTACTGACTCCCATTAGATAAAATATTAGCAGGATAGGAATGCTATTAGCTTTCTCATTGGGTTAAAATTTAGGTGATGATACTGTACATTATTAAATGTTTTAACATTGCAATAATTTTTCAAAAAATATTGTCTGCCCTACCCAGTTTGCTCAGTGGTTGGAGCATCAGCCCATGACTGAAGGGTCGCAGGTTTGATTCTGGTCATGGACACAGGATACATACCTTATAGTTACAGGTTCATCCCCACTCCAGTGGGGTGGGGGTAACCAATCAATGTGACTCTCTCACATCAATGTTTCTCTCTCTCTCTGCCTTTACCCCTCCTTTCCACTCTCTCTAAAATTCAATGGAAAAAATATCCTCGGATGAGGATTAACAACAACAAAAAGGCAGATATTATTAATGGCACATAAAGCAATACTCAATCAAATGCTGTTTAAGAGAGTCTCATTTTATTTAAACAAATACAAATATATTTGAAAGTAAAGTAACAGGAAAGATATATATCGCATAACAATTAAGTAAAATAAATACTGGTGTAGCTTTATTAATAATGTGGGCTTCAATATAAGGAAATAGCAAAGAAGAACTTTGTTTTATCAACATAATTGGGTCAATTTATCAAATGAAATTATACATTTAGTAGCACAGCTTCAAAATACATATAACACAAACTGACATCCATCCCCATAATCATTCAGGACTTTATAATTTTAATTAACATAAAATGTCCCTTGTATATTTGAAATGACTTTATGGAAACAGTGAAGTCTATGAATTCTGTGACCTATGTGGTCTGGGGACAAATTAATATATGCAGGTATACACAGCAACAGAGAAGCAGGGAACCAGAGAGAATCATGGGGAAGAATGGCTTTGGGAATCACAGAGAGTCTCTGAATTAAAGCTGGAGCTAACTCAACCCCAGGGTTAATCAGAGTTTTGATGGCCATTGGGACCTGGATAAAATGAAATAAATCAACAATTTGACAGTTGTTGGCTCCTGTAAATGAGATTAGACTAAAATTGCGGTATAATGATAAAAGTATTTTTGAATATACATTTAATTGAAGTAATATGAAAAATAAAGCATACTCCACAATGACTTTAAGATTAAGAGTTTATATGAAATGTAACAGGCAACATTAGGGGTTAAAAGAAAAACCCTGAAGGTTAGCACCTTATTGATTCTATGCCATGCTTTCCCTTATGAGTTAAATTTCTCTATTTCAATTCATTTTATTTATAATGAAAGTGCCATAAGGATGCTGAACTTTCTCATTGAGATTGTGATGAGGAATTTCTAATCAACACTTTCACAATGTCAATTGCATTTTCAACATTAATAATGTAAATGGTGCCCATGATAAAACAATTGTCACTTTCCAAATGAGAGTCACATTTCTAATAACCACCGTATGAGAATAAATCATTGAACAAATTAAGAGCTCATGGCAAAAAACAGAATATGTTCTTACTATCATTTTTATGTTTATAAAAGTGAATAAATGACAGCCAAAGAATATAATTCATATTATACACATAAAGTAAACAAACAGACACTGCATTTAAGAACTATTAAGAGTGATGAAGGATTTCTTTTCCTTAGAGTTTTAATGATTTACTAATATTAATTTTCATAGATAATACACATAGTTAGAGCCACAATTTCTGATTTACATCTATCCATATATTTTATAAGTTCTTGATGTTATGACTTAGAATTATTGGCTGCTTTTTTTATAGCATCAAAGAAAATGCCATGAGAGCTTTATACACAACTATTTTGGTTCTCTTCTTGTGCAACTGGTTCAGAGATGCAGACATAAGAATGTAATTTATGTTTTAGCTCTTCTTTTTAAGTCTTCATAGGGGAGTCAACTGAAAAAACAACAACTTTAAAACTCATTCTAGTTTAACTTTACCATCTGTTTTATTTCTTTCTTCTATTTCCATCCTCTAGTTAATTTTCTTTTTACAATTATTTTCAACAAGTGTGACTTATGCAAACTCACGCTGAAAGAAGTAAGCTCAAATTAGTATTCCATATGAGTGAAATTTGCATTTGGGGTAGGATTTAGAGTTTTAGAATTTTAGTTGCAACAACAGAAATTTAAACAGAATCTCTCTCTCTCTTTCTCTCTTACACACACACACACACACACACACACATACACACACACACACAACACATACACACACAAATCACATTATTAGAGGTTCCAGGGACTAGAATAGGTAAGCATTTTCCAAAAGACTCTCTGTACTCATATTCCTTCTAGCTCACACTAAAATAGCAACAGTGGCCTCTTTCAATTCCTAGAGGAATCCAAGCATGGCCCTGCCTGAGGGCCTTTGTCTTGAATATTTTGACATCAATTTCTCATTTGTGGCTTTATTCGTTCTGTTTAGGTATTTTCTCAAATTTTTACCTTCTCAATGTTTCCTTCTCTAGACACCCGATCTAAAATATTAAAAACTCCCTTCTAGCCCGTATGTGTCACCCTGCTCTATATTTCTTCTTAACAACTATTGTCATCCTGTTTACCAGATAACAATATGCTTCTTCGTGTATTTTTATTGCCTATGAGACAAAAGTTAAGCTCTATGAAGGTAGATGTCTTTGTTTCTTTGTACTGGAGTAACCTTCCAGAGAAGGCAACAACATTCTAGCAATGGCAGGTTATGCCACGTGTACGTGATGGGAACCTATTTGAAGGATACTTCTATGTAGGACAAGCACAGACTCCATAAACTGACCACTGGGCAACCTCTCTCTTAGTAATGAAATAGTCGGAGCTAGCTTGACATGGAATCTGGGGAGAGGAGTATTTGGTGAAAAGTACAAAGAATAGTTATGCACAAAATACCCCTCAATAATGTTGTTTATATAAAAACTATAAAAGTTAAATCAAAAAAGGAGGTTGGGATATCTAAGTATTTTTATGAACACAGAAAAAGTTTATACACATACACAAAATAAAAATCCAAAATTTACACTATGATCTACTACTAAAATTTAAATTGAAGAGAAAAACTGAAACTATTTCTTA